CCCCCCAATTGCCTTTAGCCACAACTTCCACTGTTCCTGAGAGAGTCTTGTTTTACAAGTGAAGTCATTGCCTTTGGGAACCCTGGGAAGATGGAAACCTGTCAACAGAAATGCAGCTATTTCCCACAAGAAGTATTACTACAACCCAATACTACGAAATATTCCCAGAAAACTGGAACCCATGAGATGTGCACAGAACCCTGGATATTGCAACCCAAATATGAGGAAGTACAGAATGCTAAAACAGCTGGAAATACTTACCAGGAAGTGAGGAGACAGGAAGGCCCACTCTTAAATTGTAACTCTGAGTGCATACTGTATATCAGTATTCTTCTGAATATGTTTGTTTTTTACATAGTTTGTATATTTCTTTCTTTTGGGGGGAAGAGGGCAAGAGATACAATTATTTTCTTTAGAATCTTAAGAGGTTTTACTTTTATTTTCTAGTTTTTGCTTTATTTGGAACTTTGATATATGCTGTTAAAATATTTTAATTTTTTTGAAGTTGAGAAAGATTTTATTGAGGCAGGGAAAGAACTCCCGGGAGGGAAGGGAGAGCAGAGAAGGATGGGGGCATCTTGAGCCCCTGGGTGGGTTCTGAGACCCAATGAGTTAGGTCAGGGAAGTTGCCTAAAATTCTTAAAATCCATTCATTTCCTTGAAATTCTGTCATTCAAAATTTCTTACCCCCCAAGAGAAGCACTGAATAAATACATTTCAATGTGTATACAAAATAATCATTCTTGGTTTTTTTTCATTAAGTATTTTACTAAAATACAGTATCATACACTGACATTTGTTTTTAACTTTTGTTTGAGATAGTCATATGTTTGAAATGAGATAAATTATTTTAAAAACGACTGTGATTTGCTTGAAAGTTGATGTGTTAGTCCGGGTTGACTAGAGAAACAAATTCATAGACACTCGTGTATAAGAAAGAGTTTAATGTATAAGAGCAATTTAATATTGAGAAAACAGCCCAGTCCAGATCAATTCCATAAGTCCAATATTAGCCCATATGTCTGATAGCAGTCTATAAATTCCTCTTCAGACTCACACAACACCAGCAATGACGCCGAATGCAGGAAGATCACAGACCAGTGGGAAAGTCTTGTGGGTCCATAGCAGTAGAGGCGTCAGTGCTGGCAGGGGTCTCATGTGACTCCTTCAGCTCCAGGGCTCTAGTGTAGCTCCATGTGTCTTGTCAGCAAGCATGTCTCACAGGGAGTGAGTATGTGTCCCGCCTCCAGTGAGCTATTTCTCTCTTGGGCCTCCCAATGAGGTCATCAAGCTGTGACCTGATTGACAGGCTAAACTCCATCCCTTCACGCTTAGGTCTCAAATTGACAACAGATTATTTAACTACCACCGGTGACATAGGAAATTATTTTCCCTTCAACAATTCATATCCATTTTATTGGTGATACTGCAATCCCTACACTGTAACAGCACTCTTTCCACTTCATGTGGTCTTTGCCTGTTCATCGCTGCCCTTTGAGCTTTCTCTTTGAGCAAATACTGTCCTTTTGATCTCCTGTGGTTGATTGCTGTAAGACATGCTGTATTAGACTGCCGCCTCTAGAGAAAAATAATCAGCGATGCTTGCATGTATGTGTCTATAGAAAGATAGCAAGAAGTGACTCACACTGTTGTAAGTCGTGAAAACGAAGTATCTCACGAGGTGTGTGGCTGCACAGGCTTATGAACAGGAAGTAGGAAGACGGCAGACTGGTGGATTCAGAGCTCAATGGATGCGAGTTGGGCCAAATGAACTCAAGGTTGGCAATCTGCTGATGGCTCCTGGTGATATAGTAGGTCTACTAGCAGGATGCAGGATTCAGGGATAGCAGTGGAGCTGAGCTAGATTCCACACACTGTCAATACATATGAAGAGTAGGCTACACCGCAATGAAGCTCCCTCCATTGTATCAAGGCTGTGACCAGATTAAGGAGGTGGTACTTGTGGTAGTTACATATTCTTGTGCCAACTTGATATTAAAGAATGGTTTGGAAATGATGGCAACATATGTACAAATATGCTTGATATGATCGATGTATGCAATGTTATAAGAGCTGTAAGAATCCCCAATAAAATTTTAAAAGGGGTGAAAGGGTGGAGTCTAGCCTGTCAATCAGGTTGATTGACAGCCTGATGACACCTCCTTGTGGGCATGGCCTTCTTATGAAGATTCTGAGAACTTCCTCTCTTTCTCCTGGGAGGTGGCTGCACACCTTTTTAGCTTCACCTTCCGGTGGAGGATCCACATGGAGACCCGGGCCTGTGTTGAGATGCTTCCACTGCCACTGGATTGACAAGACTTTCCACCCACTGGCCTGTGATCTTCCTGCAT